GCCAGGAGTTAGTCCTGAACACCACTGGGTGTGACCCAAAAATAAAACCAAAAACAAAAAGGCTGATTGTTTCTATAAAATTACCATGTTCTGGGACCAAGAATGTAGCCCTGGGTTTGAACCTTGATTGTGAACTCTGTGCTCAGGAATCACTCCTCACAATTCTTGGGGGGCTTCAGGGGGTGTGGAGATTGAACCCAGGTTAGCTCATGCAAGGAAAGCACCCTACCCACTGTACTATCACTCCGGCCCTGGAAAAGTAGAAATTTAATTATATAAAAGGTAAGTCACAAATGTATTGGTTGCTGTATTTTGAACTATTTAGCCTGCAGCCTTGAGTTTTGACTTACAGTTTAGCATCATCATTTTAGGCTGATACTATTATTGCAGTTTTGCTTTGTGTACTTATTGTTAGTTTCTGTGCTTGTCTATAACACTTTTGTAGAAATAGTGCTAATCAAGAATGCTGCACCGTCACTTTTAGATTATCTCCCCATCTTATGACTTTCATAAGATGCTTTAGTTAAGAAATGGGGATGGACAGACCACAGCACCCAAAAGGAGAGATAGAACAAAAGGGAGTGCCCTGCCACAGAGGCAGGGTGGGATGGGAGATGGGGGTGGGTGGGAGGGATACTGGAATTGGTGGGGGTGGAGAATGGGCACTGGTGGTGGGATGGGTACTCAATCACTGTATAACTGAAACCCAAGCACAACAACTTGTAAGTCTACAACTGTACCTCATGGTGTTTCACTAATAAAACAAAAAACAAAAACAAACAACAAAAAAAAGAAATTGATATGTAAAAAGAAATAAAAAGGAAATAGGAAATATGAATCCCTTTTACTATTAGTAATTAATTTAATGTCAAGCTAATTGAGTACAGAAATTTTTAAAAATACAAATAATTTTTCCAAAAAAAAGAAATGGGGATGGAGAGATAGGACTGTGGGTAAAATTCTTGCCTTGCACACAGCTAACCAGTGTTTGATCCCTGGCACTGTATATGGTCGCCAGGTCTTGCCGGAAATTTTCCTTGAGCACAGAATCAGTAAGTCTTGAACACAGCCAGGTGGGGTCTAAAAACCGGATAAATAAACAAGAAAAATCTGAGGGGCTAGGGAAGTAACTCAGCAATAGAACATTTGTTTGCATATGTGAGGCCCTCTGAGTTTAGTCCTTGGCACCACATGGCATCATGAGCACTCTCTGCGGTAGCCCTTGAAGCTCTCAAACACTTGTGCCAGGTCCACAATGCCAGGCCCAGTGGGCATGGCCAGGAGTGGCCCTGCATCTCCCATTACTGTTGAATGTGGGTCCTCTTTGTTTTTTAGGAGGGCTGCCAGGAGACCGAAGCCAGAGTACAGCAGGAAGTGTGTTTGCATTGCACCAAATTGGCCCAGGTTCAATCCCCAGCACCCTATGTGGTCCCCCAATCCCACCAGGAGTGACTCCTGAGTGCAGAACCAGGAGTAAGTCCTGAACGTTGCCGGGTGCAGCAAAAATAAATACATAAAATAAAAAAGGAGGCTGGGGAGATAGTTCAAATGACTGGGGAACATGTGATATGTGAAGCTTTGAGTTTGATCCTCAACATTGCATGCTCCACCTCACCCTAAGCACCACCCTGGGGAATCCCAAATAAAGAGGAGAGAGAGAGAGAGAAAGCAGGGGGGGGGGGGCGGGGGGGGGAAGAGGGAGAGAAGGGAGGGAGGGAAGAAGGCAGGAAGGAAAGAAGAAAGGAAGGAAGGAGAGTACATTTCAATTTTTAAAAAAAATTTTATTAGTGAAACACCAAGAGGTACAGTTGCAGACTTACAAATTGTTGAGCTTGGGTTTCACTTATACAATGATCCAGTACCCATCCCTCCACCAGTGCCCATTCTCCACCACCATTAATCCCAGTATCCCTCCCCCCCATCCCCCCATCCCATCCTGTCTCTGTGGCAGGGTACTCCCTCTTGTTCTCTCTTTCCCCCTGGGTGCTGTTGTTTGCAAAAGAGGCATTGAGTGGCAATCGTGCTTGGTCTATAGTCTATTTTCAGCATGCATCTCCCATCCTGGGCGGATCTTCCCAACACCCTTTATTTGGTGCTCCCCTCTCTATCTGAGCTGCCCCTACCCCTACCCCTTGGAGGCAGTTGGCCTCCAAGCCATGGAGCAAACCTCCTGGTATTTATCTCGGCTACTCTTGGGTGCCAGTCTCCTATTTTGTTACTTTATGTTCTCCAGACGGACGATTCTCAAAAAATTAGAAACTGAGCTCCCATTTGACCCAGCAATACCACTCCTGGGAATATACCCCGAAGAGGTGAAAAAAAGTACAGCCAAAGTGACATCTGCACTTGTTTGTTCATTGCAGCACTGTTTACAATAGCTAGAATCTGGAAAAAAACCTGAGTGCCCGAGAACAGATGAGTTGTTAAAGAAACTTTGGTACATCTACACAATGGAGTACTATATAGCTGTTAGAAAGGATGAAGGCATTTTAATTCTTAACACATTAATGTGTCTTCAAAAAATTTCTATGCTGGGGGCCAGATATTACAGTTGGTAGGGTGCTTGCCTTGCACGTGGCTGACCTAGGTTCAATTTCCAGCATTGCATATGGTTCCCTGAGCACCATCAGGTGTAGCCTAAAACCTCAAAAAAAAAGTTTCCAATGTGGAAGCAGGGATAAGTATACATTGTAGAGCACTTGCCTTGCACATGGCCAACTGGTTTGAGCCCTGGCACCACATATGGTCTTGGGAGAACCACCAGGAATTATCCCTGAGCATAGAGCCTGGAGTAAGTTCTGATCACTGCTGGTGTGGCCCAAGACAAAACAAAAACTAACACTCTCTGTGCCTTCCCTCATGAGGCCCAGGAAAGTTCCTTGCTGGCACCAAGCAACAAGAAGTCATTGAATCTAGGGGATATCGGTTGATCATCAGACTTTCAGAGAAAGATCTTTATCAAAAGGGGGAAATGTGAAAAATAATAGTTAAAATCACTTAAAAAATAGTTTAAAATTTAAACGGGGCCAGGAGATTAGGAGGAAGTGCCCACAGTATATGTCATGAATGAACTTCAGGAGCAGCAACGATCACATCTCTTGGGGGTGCAGTATCGGGGGTCAGGGGACGGTGATATAGTCTCTCATTTTAGACCTTTGATTGGGTCTCATCATGAGACATGCACTTTACTAACTGCTTTTGTTTGAGTCAACAGTGTGTATGTGCAAATTTGCTTCATTTGCTTTTTTTGTTGGGGAGGGGGTTGCACATCTGGCAATGCTCATGGGTTACTCCTGTCTCTGCACTCAGGAATTACTCCTGGTGGACCATATGCCGGGATCCAACCCAGGTTGGCCACATGCAAGGAAAGCACTCCCTACCAGCTATACTGTTGTTCTGCCCCCTGCTCTTAATTTATTATTATTATTATTATTGTACTTCACGGCACTGCACTGTCCTCCCATCGTTCATCGATTTGCTCTAGCAGGACCAGTAATGTCTCCATTGTGAGACTTGTTACTGTGTTTGGCATATCGAATATGTCACTGGTAGTTTGCCAAGCTTTGACGTGCGGGCGAGATACTTTCAGTAGCTTGCTAGGCTCGCTGAGAGGGCGGAGGAATCGAACCTGGCTATTATTATTATTATTATTTGACTTTTGGGGTCACACCCAGTGGTGCTGAGGGGTTATTCCTGGCTCTGTACTCAGGAATTACTCCTTGCGGTACTCAGGAACCATATGGAATGCTGTGAATCCAACCCGGGTTGGCCCTACCCGCTTGCTATCGCTCCAGTCCCAACTCTTAAGTTTTCAAGGTGTCGATTTTCACAGGGTCTAAGAGTGATCTGTGCTAGACTTTGAAGTAAGAAATGAATTATGGAGTATGGCACAGAAATCTAGAACCCTACAGTGTCAAGACCCAAGGCAGGGAGGGAACTCCTCTCAATTCTGGGCTGCCTGCCTCTAGGTTGTAGGTTCTCATGGTACTTGACACGATTTCAGAGGGCAGTTCGCAGGGTTGTGTCTGCGCCTGGAAACGTATTTTTGATGGTGAGAATCTGAAACTGAACATACAGCTATGGTATGGCACCTCACTTTTTAATATCATTTTTAAGCATCTTCTTGGTGTTTTCTTGTTTGTTTTTGGATCACACTAGGTGATGCTCAGGGGTTACTCCAGGCTGCGGACCTGGAGGTGGCGGGGGTAGGGGGTGGGGGAGTGGGACCATATCAGAAGCCGGATCCAACCTGATCTGCCACGTGTAAGGCAAATGCCCTACGCTCCCGCCCCTCAAGCACATTCTTTATAAAATGATTTTGTAAAATACTTCCTTAAGGGTAAGTTGACAATCATCTCCTTGCCACTAGAACTTGAATAACCAGGCAAAGCAGCCTTTCAAAGCCTCAAATTAAGCTGGCAGGACCGCAGGGGGCTGAGCAGAGGGTCGCATTGGAATCCTCGAACATCTGCAGCAGCTACTGCATAAACATTCCGGGGAAGAGGGTCCCGAGCTGTGCTATCGACTACCCGCAAAAGTCAAACAACTCCCAAAGGTGTGCGTTTCTTTAGGGCCCTGAACAGCAAACGCAGAAGGGTCCTTTGGCTGCAGGACTGCAGGGCTGCCGCTGGGCGCCGAAGACTGGACCCGCAGGCCCGCGGCCCTGGCTCTCCCGCCCAGCACCGGCGTCCGGCTGTGCCGGCGGAGGCTCTGGGGGCAGCGAGCCAGGCCCTCCAGGGGCGGGGCTGGGCGGGGCCGGGTGGGGCTGGCTCCGAGCGGCACGCGCACTCCTTTTCCCCGCGGAGGGAGCGCGGCGGCGCGCTGCGTCCTACAAGACGCGCTGACGTCGCGGACGGCGGGCGCGGGCGCGGGCGCGCGTGCGTGGGGTGCGGCGGCTGCGGGCGGCTGCGGGCGGCTCCGGCGGGCCCGGTCGGTCGGTCGGTCGGTCGGTCGGCATGGGGCGGGGCGGGCCCCGCGGCGCTGGCGGGCGCGCGCTCTGACGGCGCCGCGCCGTTCCCCGGCTCCCGCGGCCCCGCCGCCCGTCTCACCGGCCCCTGGCATGCGCGCCCGCCCGGGCCCGGGGCCGTGGCCGCCCCGCAGCGCAGGGCCGCGGGCGCGCTCGGGAGCGGGGGCCCCGCGCCGCTGAGCCCCGCCGCACCCGGCGCGCCATGGAGGCGGTGGGCGACTTCGAGTACAGCAAGCGGGACCTCGTGGGACACGGGGCCTTCGCTGTGGTCTTCCGGGGGCGGCACCGCCAGGTGAGCCCCGCCGCGCGCCTCCTCCGGGCGGGCCGCCGGGGCCTCCGCCGCTGCGCCCGTGGCAGCCACCCGCGTCCCCGAGGCCGGGCCCCGGCGTGTCCTGTCCCCCGAGGCCGGGCGCCGCAGCCCTGTACCCCGAGGACCGCGGACGCCGGCGTGTCCTGACCTCCGAGGCCGGGCCCCGGCGTGTCCTGTCCCCCGAGCCGGGCGCCGGCGTGTCCTGTCCCCCGAGGCCGGGTTCCGGAGTGTCCTGTCCCCCGAGGCCGGGCACCGGCGGGTCCTCTCCCCCGAGACCGGGTCCTGGTGTTTCCTGTCCCCCGAGGACCGCGGGCGCCGGCGCATCCTGTCCCCCGAGGCCGGGTCCGGGCGTGCCCTGTCCTCCGAGCCGAGCGCCGCTGCCCTGTCGACCCGTGTTCCAGCGTGCCCTGTCCCCCGAGGCCGCTGGCTTGGCGGCCGCGGACAGCCCGGCTCCCGGTGGCCTGGCCCTGCGGCCCGGGCTGCTACCCGCGTTGGCCTGTCGACGTCCCGTTCCCCCTTTGCTGGAAGACGGACCCGGGAAGGTGGCCCCAGAGGAGCCGCTGGCCGCGCAGGCTCTGCCCTTTCCTTTTCCTGGTCAAACCGGGGTCACACGGGGCATTAGAATCCGGAGGCTCGGCGCAGGAGGGGACACTCGTGAGGGCGTGGCCGCGGGGCTCCTTGCCCGGGGGCTTGCTTTGGCAGGCTCCTCGGACCAGAGGTAGCACATACCGCTCCCCATTCTTCAAGCAGCCCAACATTCAAGGAAAAGCAAAGCGGGGCTCAGCCCGGCCAGGCGGTACCGCCTGCGGGTTTATTAGCCGCCTTTCTCGGTAACTTTTTAACCGTTATAAACTCTGTTCTTTGCCCGCTACTTAGTAAGTGAGCCTCCCATTTATTTTAATGACTGCTGCGGGATGTAGGCACTTTACAACATGATTTATGAAATCTTCCTTCATCTGGGAATTCAGATGAAACCTCCCAACCCCACCCCTGGTCAGTTTACTTAAAACATTTGTCTTCTTGAAGATTTTTTTTTTTTTTCCTGATGAGTTACTTCTGTGAAAAACTATACGAGTAACACTTTTAAAACACCTTTTCCTTTTCAGAAAACGGACTGGGAGGTAGCTATTAAAAGTATTAATAAAAAGAACTTGTCAAAATCACAAATACTGCTTGGGAAGGAAATTAAAATCTTAAAGGTATGTTTATTTTTATTTATTTTTTTTTACTCAACTGGAATTTGTTTATTGCGTGATGAAATCCTTTGCAGTTTTGTAGTTGGACCCAAGTTTGAGAGTTTTCACCTGTTGCTCTCATTTTTGCATGCTTAATCTTTCAAAACATTGAGTCCTGGGAAACTTTTTAAGAACACATGTTTGTGGCATTTAGCCAACTTGGAAGTGATTTGAGAGCCTGGCAGGTTTTAAGTTGCATTATTTATTTGAAAAGACTTATTCCTCTTAACTCCTGTTGACCTCTTTCATATTATAGTTTTATGATCCTTTTGTTTCTTATTTTCCACATGCAAGGCATGTGGAAGGTGTGATTACCACTGAGCCACATCCTGGACCTGAGAATGGTCTTTTTAGATCATTCGCACTTTTCCAAGGTTGGGGGGATATGGGGTGTTAGTAAAGGGGACCATATTTAGTGCTGGGGATTGAACCTTGGTTGGCTGTGTGCCAGGTAAGTGCCTTGACTGCTACCTAAGAATGTAAGAAACATGGTAGTGATAAAAGTATTCAGGTCTCATGTAAAGTCTGGTGAGGCACATTTCTTACTCTTTGGTAGACTAAATTGTTCCAAGTAATAGAAATATTGTGTGCTGGAAATAATGTTTGTGCATATGAAATGGTCTTATTTGCCTGTAACTTTTATTAAAATTATGAGAACAAATATCAATATTTTACATTTTCAATTTTCTTAACAGGAACTTCAGCATGAAAATATTGTAGCACTCTATGACGTTCAGGTACCTTACATTGAACTTTTTCTAAAAGAAATTGTGCATGTCTATTAGTAAAGAACTAATTTTTCGTATTTTGTACAAATTGAAGTGATTTTGCTAGAAGTAGAAAATCACCTTTTGAAAAGTTATATTGCTTGAATAATATGTTTAAAATAGCATAGTGCAGTAGGGTAAAACAAAATGTATAGTTTGGGTAAACTTGTTAACTATAGGGATATTGCAATAATACAGTTTTAGATCTAGTTGCAGAACATTTTCTAAAGTTGTAAGAATTTTTGTCGTGGATTTATTTACTTTTACTTTTTTTTTTTTTTTTTGCTTTTTGGGTCACACCTGGTGATGCACAGGAGTTACTCCTGGTTCATGCACTCAGGAATTACTCTTGGCGGTGCTCAGGGGACCATATGGGATGCTGGGAATCGAACCCAGGTCGGCTGTGTGCAAGGCAAACACCCTACCTGCTGTGCTATTGCTCCAGTCCCATACTTTAAATTTTTTTTTTTTTGCTTTTTTTGGGGGGGTCAAACCTGGTGCACAGGGGTTACTCCTGACTCTTCACTCAGGAATTACCCTCGGTGGTGCTCAGGGGACCATATGGGATGCTGGGAATCGGACCCGGGTTGGCCACGTGCAAGGCAAACACTCTACTCGCTGTGCTATTGCTCCAGCCCCTTTTAATTTTTTAATTAAAATTTTTAAAAATTTATTAATTGAATCACAATGAGATACACAGTTCTGAAGTTGTTCATGATTGGGCTTCAGTCATACAATTTTCAACACCCATCCCTTCACCATTGTACATTTCCCATTACTAGTGTCCCAAATTTTCCTAGACCTCCTCCCCTCCCCCCCCCCCCCGTTCTCTGTGTCTCTCTGTCTCTCTCTCTCTCTAGTACGGGAACATTGATAACATCTGGCATTTTAGTGATATGTAAAGGATAAATATTGTGCACTATTTAAAAAGTAGCTTTTCTTATTTGTTGATTATAGAGATACAAGAAAATAAAACGAATTAAAATGAAGAAATGGCATTATTTATCACTGAGATGTATGTGGTATACCTTGGCATGCAGTAGAGCTGTATTTTTTTGTTGGTGGATAGACTGGATTCTGAGTTATTTTCTTTGTTTTTTGGTTTTTAGCCCACATTTGGTGGTGCTCTGGAGCTACTCGATCTCAGTGGTTAGAGGTTGCTCCTCGGGACCATGAAGTGCCTGGGAGTGAGCTGGCCTCCTGCAAGTCATGCGCTCCGCCCATTGAGTGCCCCTTCTACCCTTCCAGGGCAGCAGTTCAATATAGTTAAAATTATTCTTGGAAGTGCTTTTGAAAAGCTCAGCATTAAAGACAATTACTGCTTTTTTGGGGCAGAGCCCTGAATGAAGTAGTTGGCTTTTATATAGGGCTCACGTTGTATTTTAGAAAAATGCTTCAAATTCCAGGATCACCCAGTGAGATCCTAGGAATCTGAGAATTATTGATTTTGTTTTTTCATTTTCCTTTTTTTCCCCCTGAAAGCTATTGAAGGGACAGCAGATGCAGATTTCAGTCCACTTGTAGTGTGAACTGGTCTGGGTATGTGATTGACAATATTTCCAGCTTTAAAATTTCTTTTTTTTTTTTTTTTTTTTTTTTAGGTAGGGGGCACAGCTCGTGATACTCAGGGCTTAATCCTGGCTCTATACTCTCTATACTCAGGAATCACTCCTGGCTGTTCTCAGACCTTAGGGGATCGAACCTGGGTTGACTATGTGCAAAATAAATGCCCTACTCACAATACTACCTATCACTCTGGCCCAAGTTCCATAGCGGTGAATATGTACTATCTTTGTTTTGTTTTTGTTTGGTTTTTGGGCCACACCCAGTAGTGCTCAGGGCTCACTCCTGGCTCTTTGCTCAAGGATCACTCCTGGTTGGCCTCAGGAGACCATATGTGATCCCAGGGTCCAGTTGTGTACACTGCAAGCTACCTGAGTAATATCATACTATCTTTTGTACACTATCTTTTTGAATTACTGTTTTTGTATTCTTTGATTTTCACTTATTTATTTTAGACCACACTCAGTGGTGCTCAGGGGTTACTTCTGGCTGTGAGCTTGGGAGCCATATGAGATTCTGGTGCTTGACCAAGTAAGCTGTGTACAAGGAAAAGCCCTACCCACTATACTATTTCTCAGGTCTCTGTTTTTGTATTATTTGAATATTTACATCTGGGAGTTGGATTTCTGGATCATATTTTTTTTTTTTTGTAGAGGTGGACCAAATTATATAACCCACAGAGAACGAAAGAAGTTCCTTTTTCAGTGTTTGGGGCCACTTCTAGTCTGTACTCAGGTCACACTGGGGTCAGTCACATTCTAGGCATGCCGTAATCCCTACACTGTTCTTTCTGCCAGGTGGGTCCCTCTTTTAACCACATACCTGAGTGCTTATCTCTGACATTTTTTACATAGACCATTGCAGATAAGTCATTGTTTTGATTTGTTTCACTGATTGTAAAGTGCAGCTTTTTTTTGGTATTCGGTTCTCCTAATTCTTTGATGAATTTTTTGTTGTTCTTTTTATATCTTGGCTACTAACCCTCTGTCAGATGTATGCTGCACTGATATTTTCTGACATTTAGCTGAATATCTTTCATTTAATGATAGTTTATCTTGCTGTTTGGGAAGCTTTAGTTTGATATAATCCCACGTTTTTTTTTTTTTTTGAGGGGGAAACTTAGGCCCCCTCCGGCACTGCTCCGGGGCTACTGCTAGTTCTCCTTGGGGTGGCTCCCTTTGGTGTCTGCCACGTGGTCTCAGCTGTTAAACCTGGGCCTCTTCCACGCGAAGCACGTGCTGCAGCCATTGCACTATCACATGACTCATCCCTTTTCTTTCTGTTTTCCTCGCCAGTAGAGTAGACTCTCTGAAAGCACCAGTGAAGCCCACAACTTGAAGTGTTTTGCCTGATTTTCCCTCTATATATTTTATGGGTGTAACATAAAAATCTTTACTCCAGTTGAGTTCGCTTTTATGTATGGTATGATATGGTCACCCAGTTCTGTCCCTTTGCTGGGTGTCTGTCTAGTTTTTTTCCTATCTCCATCTGTTGAAGAGATTTTCCTTTCTCTGTTTTATGCTCTCTGCTTTCTTTGTCATGCCTAGTCATATATATGTGTTTATTTCTGATTCTCGATTTTCTTTATTGTTCCGTGTATGTTCTTATTCTGACCATACTATTTTGGTTACCATACTATTTTGTATTAAAGTTGGGAAATAATGATGTCTCCCATTTCACCATTCAGAATTGCTTTGACTATTCAGATTTTTTCCCTTTTTTTGTGGTTGAGTACAAATTTCAATAGTGTTCTTCTCTTTTGATGAAGACTTTCAAAGTTCCACCGAACTTTATGTTGTCTAGTGAAGTCTGTGGGTTTTCTTTCTCATGTCATCTGCACTTTTAGTTTCTCTTCTTTTCCAAAATTGGTCCCTTTTATTTATTTATTTTTCTTGCTTAAAAGATGTGGCTTGAACTTCTAATATTATGTTAAATATGTTGAGTAGTAGTGGTGAGGGTGGACATCCTTTTCTTATACCAACTCTCGGAGGAAAAAAATCAGTTTTTGCCATCGAGGATGATGTTAGTGTGGCTTTTGTCATATTTGGCTTTTTTATGTTGAGGTCCTTCTAACCCCTACATTTTGTTCAGTTTTTTTTGTTGTTGGTGGTGGTGGTAGGGAGGTAGTTGGGCCAAACCCAGCAGTGCTAAGGATTTACTCCTGGCTCTGTTCAGGGATCACTCCTGGCAGGGCTTGGGATTATACCAGGGATTGAATCTAGGTCAGACTCATGTAAGATAAGTGATAAGTGCTTACCTGCTGTACTATCTCTCTGGCCCTGTTTTTTTTTTTTTTTAATTTTGTTCTGTTTTTGCCAGTGCTAGGGATTCAAATACCTAACTTATTCAACCTCTGTTATTTTTTTTTTTGTTGCAGCTAAGCTTGAATTCTAACCAGTACAGACATTAAACATGATATAAATCAATTTCTGCTACTTAACAAATATACAACAAAGGCTTCTGTGTTCTTACTGTTCTCACTGGTGCCAGCCAAGTGTTCTGCTACTGAACTCGATCTCTGACCTATGTTCTTTTTTTGATGTGTGTGCCGTGAATGAATGCCAAGACCCAGAGACTATAAAACCCAGCTCCCAGAAGCGCGTGGCCGCAAATGTGGCCGCGCAACATCTTATTATCTTATTCTTGCTTTCGACAACCCCACACGGCAGAGTCTGGCAAACTCCCCATGGCATACCCAATATGCCAAATACCAGTAACAATGATGGGTCTCATTCTCCTAACCCTGAATGTGGCACTTTTTAGAATCTCAGGGCTAGGGTGAAGGAGATGTTACTGGTGCCTGCTCGAGGCAATCGACGAACAACAGGATGATCGTGATCATGATCGGGGTGAATGAATGTTGAATCTTCTCAAAAGTTAATTTGCAATTATGGATATGATTATGTGGTTTTTAGTTTTTCTTTTGTTGGTGTGTGGTATATTACATTAATTTGCATATGATGAACTATCCTTGCATCCCTGAAATAAGACCTGATTGGTCATTTAGTATGACCCCTATTGCATTTATTTTGTTAACAGTTGTTGATGATCTTTGCATCAATATTTATTTATTTATTTATTTTGTGTGTGTGTATATGTGTGCAGTTTTGTTTCTTTGTATGATGGCCATGTTTGCTTTAGGTAACAGGATAATACTTGTGTCATAAGAAGTGTTTGAGGAATAGATAGCTCAAAAGCTACAGCACACACATTTTATGTAGGAAGCCTAAGTTTGATCTCTGGATCTGCATGGTAACTGAACACTGCAGGATGTGTCCCAAACAGCAACAACAGCAATAATAACTAAGTGCTTGGAAGTAAACTGTTTTCTTCGTGTTTTTGAATAGTGTGAGTGATCTCTTTAGAAAAATTGTATATGTATTATATATTAAACATAAATATTTATA